CTGGTTTTCTGTTCAGATTATCCAATGGCTTCATCGTTTATATATTTGTTAAACATGACAGTACAACAGAATCAAATATAATATGAAATCAATAAGTTGTACATTGGCAAAGCTCACAGCGGCTTATTGCCAAAAGAGGTGTGAATGCAACTCTATGGTAGATTTGGGGCCATATGTTTGTTTGCAGTTGACAAAACAAAACAAATACCTGTTGTATACTTTACACCTTCCTCACTATAAAAAGGTCACTATCCACTTGTTGTTTACCAAAGATGTATTTAAAGGATATGGGAGGTGTTTCTTTTCTGATAAATCCAAGGAAAAGATCAAACATACAAAGCACAAATCCCTTTCTTGATCATTTACAAACACCCACAGTCTGTGACCTATTGCTTTCCAAAAGGACGTTAATCTTCAAAAGCAGGTTTTCTAAAAGAGGAATTTGAGGGGGATTATTTTCAGCTGTGGATAAGTACATAATTGTTGCTCTCATGAGTATTACCAACAGCAGCACGGTGTATGTGGGACCGGCCTCATTTAACGACAGTGCCCAGGTTCTTCAGGATGAAAGAGCAAGAGTGACTCTGATGTTTTTACCAGGTTTTAAACAACAGTAGAAGTCTGTGGTAGCGGTTTACAACTTTTCTCTTCTAACGAGCCCCTCTGTCCTATCCTCAGTTGTTGATTCTTGGGCTTTGGTCTCTGTTTTACTCCTCTGCTCACCTGTTTACTGTTTTCCTCATCTTAATCGCAGCAGGTGGTGTTAAAGTATCACAGCTGGCTCAGCTTGGTGGAAAACAGTCGGTCTATCAGAGCTTTCTTAAAACTACGTTCCCATACAATGAAACTGGTCTGTTACGTTTGGACAGGGAAATGTCTTCTCCTGGATTGCATTGTTTTTGGATTTTATTCCTATATTTAAAGTACAATAAAAAAATAGAGAGAAGAGTTGGAGAGAGATATGAACACATGCAGTAAATGGTCACTCACATTTTAAAATATGTAGCATTAGATTTTGACTGATTACAAATGTGTTTCTAATCAAAAGGTTGCTGCAAGTCTGCTTAAGGAGACAGCTGTTCATGTCCAAATAAAAGTTATTGTTATGTTCTTAGATAAACAACATCATGATTTAAAGGTGGGGTAGGTAAGTTTGAGAAACCGGCTCGAGATCGCTAGAATTTGAAAATACACAGCCGGAAAAAATCTGCCACTTCCTTACAGAGCCCCTCCTCCAACACACACGAACGCGCACATGACCAATGAGGGCACGAGATAAGTTTGTGCACAGATGGAAGGCTGACAGGCAGGTAGGCCATCCAGTTATTTTAGCCGGGCCGGTTAAGATGATTGGTCGTGCTTTTTACAGTACTACGGCTTCCACAGATGACATTTTTTTATGGATTTTTTGTCAAAGCACTTAAGATATTCATTGCTATCGGGATGTTAAGAGCATTCCATGGAATATAACAAAAAGTGTATCTCGAGCCGGTTTCTCAAACCTACCTACCCCACCTTTAACAGATGAGAGTGTATAAATGGGGACAGAGGGAGGTATGGCTTGCAAAGGTCCCAAGCTAGTATTGAAAAGGGCTTTGCTGTTTCTTGGTCCGCGGTAACCAGCTGTCTACCAAGTTGCTCTAATTTTTCTTTTTTGGCAAACCCTTGATTTTTCTAAATAAACTTAACCAAATCATTTTGTTGGTTTTTGTATTTCGGTCCTATTCACAGTTTTTAAACTAAAACCTTGAAAACATTAACGTCCCTGGAAAACATTAACATCCCTTTAAACGTAATTAAGAATGCAGTGTATTTGATTTATAGGAGAAGGGGTTGGGCTAACAGCAAACACATTACAATTCCTTCCACAATATTTTCATGGACCCCCCTCTAGTACATATTGATAGAGAATTATTCATAAGACCCTTTGGTTTATGTTCTGATCATTTTAGCTTTAACCTCTCCTCTCACTCCTCTCTTTATGAGACGTATTTGGCACTGAGGAGTAAGCTACAGCAGGATTTGGCTTCATAGACAATACAGAAGGAACAATTGTTGTTTTTCTAAGACAAGATATTGAATATCTCCAAACTTCTCATTTGCATTTTGTTTGTCAAAAGGATTTGGGAAAATTACAGGACAGAGTTTCATAAAACTGGAAAGGTATTATCATGGGCCAAGGAAGAAGCCATTTCATTTTGGAGTGGTTCTGAAACACCGTTTGGATAAACACATTATTGTTCACTTATGTAAACGGCCTTGGCTGAGATCTCCAGGTGCTCTTTAAATTGTTTTGTTTATCGAAGTGTTGTTGTTATATCCTATTGAATGGAAATAAACCTGACAATACAACCCAATACAATATTGGTGTAATAGAAATCACATTCAGAGAGCTCAAAGTGATCCAATTTGGTGTCAGAGATGTGCTCAGTGAAGTCTGAAGTAAACATGGCAGCAGCGTTTAGTGTCTCTTCCTGTTATTTGCAGAATAACAACATAAACACCTGTTTTGCACCTGCATATCCATCCTTATACTATAAGGTTCTGGTTTGAAAAAGACTAAATTAAGCTTTTTCAACATGTTCAAATTACGTAGGAAATCATTCAGCAAAAGTGCTGAGTAAATCTAATCTAGGGTGAAACCACTTTTTGTAGCCTTTAAAATGGGGGTACAGAGCTTGAAATATCTCAGATGGAGATGTGTGTGTGTGGCGCGGAGGGCAGGGGTTAGTGAGTGGAGACACTCCAGACTTCCAGGCAGGAATCAGCCCGCTCCAGCTGTCGGAGCAATAAAGTGTTGGCATCTGTCCATGGTGCTGAAATCAACCACAATCTCTTTGAACGGAGAATAAAAGGAGCTGGCCGTGGTGCTGAGATACTGACGCTTGCGAGGCTAATGCCACATCTCACAACAGAGCTGAGCAGGTGCAGGCGTACACCGGTGTTTATCCAAACTGCTGGCTAGAAACACGGACTGTGCATTGACAAAAAACTAGTTGAACATGAAGAATGCAGTAGTGGAACAAGGCGTGCAGATCATCCCAGAATAGAAGATCTAATAGTGAGCGGTGGGTATTACCACATGCATAATGTAACATTAAACTGCTCTATGTGAAGAGTGGATAGCATTACACAAGTGTGTGTGAATTCAAACACTTTTTCAAACATGCCATCATCTTTCTTTTTGTTTGTCTGAATTTCCTCATCTGTTTTTCTCTGTTATCTTTCACATGAAGGCATATAAAAAGAGACGGAGAGAAGCAGGCACCCAAATCTGTTCTTTGACCTGCAGTCTGAAAGCTGGAGCAGCTCTAAAATGTTTTTTTATCTGAAAGAAGATGGACTCTGTGGTGCCTGGCTTGGAGGCAGCCCACATCGTGCACCTGCTAAGGGTCAATGATCATCCCAGCCCACGGGTGCAGAAACGTAAAGACAGGCCTCGACTGGACAGAGACAGATTAGAGAAACGTTATTCCTTCCTTACCTACTGCTCTCCTCTCTTAGTGATTCAGTGCATGCGTATAGGCTGGCTATTCCTGCCTCAGCCTCCCACCTCATCCATAGCGAGCGATAAGTATTGTTTGCGTAGCAGCACATTTCATGCTCGGCTTCCCCCACCTGTTCCCTGACCTGCAAAGTCTGACGGCTGGAATAGCTGTCAAATACCTTCACCCGTATCTCTCCAGGATGATTGAAAGGAGATTTTGTCTTATAAAAGGTTTGAGAAGTGTTTCCCTTTTAGCAGAGCACAAAAACAAACTTTGGTCAAGGATTATAAAGCAGTGACTCCAGAAGGCAGTTAAAAAATAAATAAAAGGTTAACCTCACTTTTCCTTTTTGTGTGCTAATTGCCGGATAATGTTTTGTGTCTTTCAATTTGTCGCCTGCAGGTTTGTGTGTGAGTTCTGGCTGCATGTCAAGGTCAAACTATTAATCAAATCTATCAGCCTGATTTGCATAATGAACCGCTGCAACATTTCCCTGGGCCTCAAGGACCTTCTCCCCCCCCGCACACCATCTCCTCACGCTTCTCTGTGTGTGATGTCGAATGCCAGTTATCACACTCAACACGGTGTGTGTGTGTGTGTGTGTGTGTGTGTGTGTGTGTGTGTGTGTGTGTGTGTGTGTGTGTGTGTGTGTGTGTGTGTGTGTGTGTGTGTGTGTGTGTGGTGTCACAGCTGTGTCTGCTTCAATTGGCAGGGATCTATTGTTGCTCTGTTTGTTTTGCACAGCAGTGATTTGCATTAGTAAAATTGCTTGAAATTTTTCCAAATTGAAAAGCAACTTTGAAGGACAGAAATCCTTCATTGTGTGACACATTGTATGACTTTTCATTACTCCTCTAAAGAAACAGGTCAGGAATATGGATTCAAGATCAGACATGTCTTAGATTGTGGCATGCTGTTTGATTTCTGATTAGTTTTGGAATCATAATTGTATTAAAAGATCTAAAAAACTATTGGATAGTTCAAAACGAATCCAGCTCTGTCCCGAGAAATCCGTTTTTGCAAAACAAAAAAGTTCCCATTTTCTCGTTAAGGAAGCATATAGAAGTACCAGGAAAACGCCAAAACAAACTCCGGCAAAGTGAAATTCCTCACCTATTAGAAAAGTAAAATCCTCAAGAATGAAAATCAAAACTGTTATTTTTGCGCCCTCGGAGACGTACAGCCTCCAACCCCAGAGAAACACTGCAAGATCAGAGGAAAGCAAAACCACACCGAAACAAGCCATGATGGAGAGGAAAAAAAGGCTGAAAATAAGCGAAAGGTGGAGATTATAACAAGAAGCTGCTTCGGGAAGAGAGAGAGGAAAAATATCAAGAGCGTCCGCAAAGCACGTATTTCTCAGTGGATGTCGCCGGAGCAACAACACTCAGCATCCAAGACTGAAATCATTGCATGCAGAAAACATTTTCCCCATGTCGGAACACCAAGACAAGAAAGAAAGCAAGAAAAAGAGTACCAAAATAAGAAAAAGGCAGTGGAAAATGTACTCACCGAGCGGGAGTAAAAGGGGTTCAATTAAAAAGAAATTGGGCGGATAGCGGTGGCGGATGGGTGCTGTGCAGGCTCGTGAACACCGAGGCTCTGCTGCGTCCCTTTCGCGCGCTCTATTGCTGCCGGTGGCTCAGTCACGTGACTCGGGATTGGCCAGAGTTTTTGAATCACACACACACACAGAAGCACACGGACACTTTCTTTGATTTTTGAACATGTTTTTATTGGTATGTTTAATGAATTGCCTCATATAGCGTTAAAATGTGTGTTCTGTGTGTACTTTGTTTTTGTAACACCTTGTTCATCATGCTTTGGCAATACGTTTTTGATATCGTCATGACAATCTTTGAGTCAGTCAGTTTTTTCTTCTTCTTGTAGGTGCACTTGAAAGCATGTAGTGGTGTAATGGAGGAGCTTTTTCTGTTACTGCATTGATTTTTATGCCCAGGGCCATTTGCTTCCTAAAACACTGTAAGTGTGCTACGAGGGCACATATACCCATTATTATTGGGTTGATTTTTGGGCTTTTTTCCCCTAAAGTGAAAAAATGCATGCCTGCAGTGCAGACTGATTATTAAGTTCAGTCAAACGCCTGTGTAACAATTACTATAAAAGAAAGCTTAAATAAAAGCATTTACTAAAATATGGTTAATGTTTAGTTGTCTAATAAAAATGTTGATATTCCAGCTTCATATTTTACCTGTCATTTCCACTTTGCATTTCCTGTCTTTTCTCTTGCTTGCTTCGTCATTAGCCTTTTGTGGCTTCTAGACAAAGACCTACGTTTAAGTTTTTGAAATAGTATGACATTTTGGGGAAATAAGTTTACCAGCATTTACTTGTTCACCTAGTACAGTATAGGTTCAGATCAAGTTTGTGAAGTAGTTATATATGAAGCTCCAGCGAGCCACAATTTAGCTTAGGGTGGTGTGTTTAAGTATTATTAATTATACTATATTAGATGTTTAAAGGAGATAAAGGACCAACAATGATACTTGGGAGCTTGCGACACAGGAACTAGAGACACGGCAATGCGTTACCTTTTACCAGAAGCCTTAATTGAGAAACAGAGGCATGTTTATTTTTCATTTAATGTAAATAAAAAAAAGAAGAAACTCAAAAAATAATTGCTGCAAGATAAAATTGTTAGATACGAAAACAAGAAATCTTAGTTTAAAATTATCTTTATTACAAAATGTGTTTAAAATATTAAAAGACAAGGTGAAAAGGAGGAACCAAAACTAAAGTGGGCGGAGGCTGATAAATGGGGTAGCATGCTACTTTAAGTAACGCTAGGACACACAGGTAAGGAATATTAGCCCCCTTAATGACCAGCTCTCAGCTCCACTAAATCCAAAGAAATCTGAAACACAGTTTTAAAAAAAAATATCCCAGGTGGTTTTAGTACAAAGAAAAATAAAAGCTATAGGCAAAAAGCTTTAGCAAAAGAGAGGCAAAAGTAAAAAGCTAACAGTGGTGTGGCAAAAACATAAGCAAAACTATAAATAAACGCCAACAAAGTTATCAGCAAAAGCTTTAATCTAAACTGTAGAACAATGAAATGCAGCTGGTGAAGCTACAAATAGGTAATAAGTTAAAAATGGCTCACCATGCGGCATACAAACAATTCATTTCAATGTTGTGACCCTACTCACCACGGGTATGCTTTTCTAATGTGCAAGACAATGTCAAGCAGGGCAACGTGTTAGGAAGAAGCAAGTGAGTTTAACATAGCAGAGATTGAGGGGACCAAACGGCCTGTAGCAGCAACCATAACTGAGTCAAAGGAAGATCAAAGGCCAACAGGTGCCATTTATAAGCAGCACTAATGACCTTGATCTGCATTCAAGAGCAGTGCACTCTTTTTGAGAGAATTACCCACTACAATCAGCATAATGACAGTTAGCAGTGGGGAAACAGATCAACTCAAACTACAGTTTTAAAGTTCAATACAGTTCATTTTGTATACATTAGTTGTATTGAGATTGTACTCAGTAAAGTAATCAATGAGGTCTGTAAAAACAGCAAAATCACTAAAAGAAACACCAGCAGTTGACCTTAACTATTCTGAGCTAAATCAAGAGTAAAGCACTTCAATGTTTGTAAAAATCCCTCATAGTAAAGCAGGACACATTCAAATCTGATCTAACTGTTTAATAATTAGCCTATATTGCTTATATTTATTTTTAGTTGCATCACAATATCTCACAAGTAACAGAAATCACTTCAATAATGAGACTCTAATTTCATGCCAACCTGAATTATCTCTTATTATACAAACACGCCATTAAACGAAATAACTTGTTGCAATTACTTCCATCTGCATATTTGTATTACATCGTTCCTTGTGGCTCATTGTGTTATTTACATAAATTAATAAACTAATAAACAAATGATAATGATTGCTGAAGGCTGTTATTGTCCACTGAACGTCTGAAAAAGGTTTCCATGTATCATCACAACTCCAACCTCTCTCTGCTCCCTCATTAAAAACGACTCAACGGATGAATCAGCTGGTTTATATTGAGCCTCATCAGAATATTGATCATCAATGAGGGTGTCAACGCTCAGGGCATTTCTTAACAGAGTCTAAAGCTTAGTTCATATCCGGCTGTAAGTCCCCCATAGATCTCAATTGAGGAGCAATATTGATTGAACACCTTCCAAACATGTTAGGCAACATACTGCGGGCCAAATACCTCTTTTATTCACTCGTTCATTTTGAGACTTTGGGGTATTTTGCCTCCAAAGCATGTTTTCTTTCAGACTGAAAAATACCATTTTAAGTGTCCATTTTACTGCACTGTTTCTCATTATTCTATAGATGTCAATCCAGCACCAGACAGTTTTTAAGCTGCTATGGACAGTCTTGCACTAATGCACATTTCTCAAAGTTATTGAAGTGACTGTTATTTTGTATATATTGATTGTTGTGCTTTTATGATGTCTAAATGTGTCTGTTGATTGTGTACAGTATATACTGTATAGGTATATACATATTTGTATACATATTTTTATATATCTTTATTATTGTATTCGGGATTGTGGGAAACGGTATTTTGATCTCTCTGTCACACAAACTGAAAGATTGACAATAAAGTTGACTTTGACTTTTACTCATTTGCATATTTAAACATAGTTTAAAGGTGGGGTAGGTAAGTTAGAGAAACCGGCTCGAGATACACTCTTTGTTATATTCCATGGAATGCTCTTAACATCCCGATAGCAATGAATATTTTAAGTGCTTTGACAAAAAATCCATAAAAAAATATCATCTGTGGAAGCTGTAGTACTGTAAAAAGTACGACCAATCATCTGAGCCGGCCCGGCTAAAATAACTGGATGGCCTACCTGCCTGTCAGCCTTCCATCTGTGCACAAACTTATCTCGTGCCCTCATTGGTCATGTGCGCGTTCGTGTGTGTTGGAGGAGGGGCTCTGTAAGGAAGTAGCAGATTTTTTCCGGCTGTGTATTTTTAAATTCTAGCGATCTCGAGCCGGTTTCTCCAAAATTACCTACCCCACCTTTAAGTGTCAAAAACGTGTAGAACAAAAATGTCTTTGTTTCAATGTAAGCAATGAACTGTGAGGTTTCATATGTTTTGTTTCTTTACTATATCTTTCTGTAATGTCTTGCTAAATGTATAGAATAAAACATATCTTTAAAGTCCGTGTTCTCAAAATAGACGAAGATGATGAACCGTATGACGAGTGTTTTCTTCATCTCTGAGCTACAAGTCTCTATCTGTATGCTGAAGGTTTTTACAGAGGGCTTTGATCCTTACATAACATTTTGCAGACGATGTTATCCAAAGCGGCTTCAAGTGCCATCAACAAATGGGTACAAACTCGAATCAAAAGTACCTCAGCTTTCAAAAAGCCAAACTTTTGTAAGTGCTTCTGCCTTGGCTTCAAATAAGCCAAACCTTTCTAAGTGCTACAAACAGAAATGATTCCTCTTCTCTTTATTTGCTAAAATGCAGTCAAAATACGTGAGGGTTTCAGTATGTGACACACAGGTATATATCATTCATATATATATTACCTTTTTTCTTTAAACATGGTTAAAAAATATATATTTGTAATGGTGTTGGCTGATGTTCTGAATAACGGAGTGATACAAAGAGACAAAATTCAATCTGTGAAAAGTTTTGACTTTTTTGAAGAATTGTGGACCTTGCATTCTCCAATATTCATATTTCCTCTGAGGGAAAAATATGTAAATGAGCCAATACTTAATGAAATACTGCATATTCAAGGCAACATTTAAAAAAGAGCACTTATCATAATTCAAGTTATCAACTGGAGAAGTGTTAAATCAGTTATTTACTCTGTTCACCTGTATTGTCGCCCCCTAAGGTCTCTATAGGACATGAAAGGTGCCGTGTATCTTGGTCAGGAAAACGTTAGACTGCAGCTTCTCATCTGTTTCATTTGATCCCTCTCTGCACGGTTGACAGCTCCAGGGTTTTTCCCTGGAGCTGTCAACCGTGTCATACTAATTCTTGAAGGAAACACGAGTGGGCTTGCCGTCGGGGGGGGGAACAGAAGTGTTTGTTTCCGCACGGATCAATGGCTCCTCGAGGGGCTGATCAGCAGAGATCAGATGTCAGGGCAGCGGGCTTCCTGCCACGCCTCTTTGTTTTCCCCTTACAGCGATGAAGCTGTTGATAGATTTTGTCAAACATCACAGGAGCTGCACCTATCAGACATGATTCTGTTCTGCTGTGAGTTCATGAAACATGATGAGGGATGGTAGGGATTGATTCACATAGGGCTGGATGCATTTGGTACTCGTAAGTTCAAGTGGAGATGTACAGGTCTAGCTTTATGATTTGTGGGTGAGGCTTCAAACTAGTGCTCGCGCTTTTATTGGCTAGCACTCCAACACATTGTATGTGATAGGCTAAGGGGCGGGACATCTCTAAGTGGTTGACTTATCACAACAGAGCTGACCAGCTAACCAATCAGAGCAGACTGGGCTCTGGTTTCAGACAGAGGGTGAAAAGAGGTGCTGCAGCACAGGCAGTATGAGAGAAATAAAGAGCTTTTTGAACATTAAAGCATGGAGACATGTCACAGGAGAGG